TTCCTCCTCAGCCCCTAAATCTATGGGCACATGCTGGAATCCCCAGTTTCCAGACTATGAGAAGTAACTTGTTACATCAGCCCCAAGGTACTCAAGTCCTTGTGTTGTCAGTGGTGTTTATCCTATTTATTTATTTATTATTATTTATTTATTCTGTATCCATTTTAGGCTTTCTCTTTTCACTTACTTTGGGGAGTTTTTGAAGGCTCAGAGTCTTCATTATTTGTCATTTGGATGCAGGAGACTGAAAATGTCATAGTGTCCTTTCTAACTGAATTGGAAACCTAAGGAGATCAGATCATCAGTGGAAATTTAGCCCAGCTCCATCTCATAGTGAGTTCAGTAAATCCCTGAACCCATTTTGTGGTCATTTTTCCAGTTTTAAAAAATGTGCAATTATTCTCGCTTACCATAAACTGTAGCTTCTTCTTTAGAGGGCAACAGGATACTGACACTGGAACTATGACCTATACAGTGAAAGCTGTTTTTTTGGGGGGGGTGGGAGACAAAAGGACAGTCATGAAAACTGCTTTTTACCTAGGAAAACAATGCATCCAAAGCAATACTATATCCTTGGAGGGATTTCAGGACTGGTGACATGATCGAGACTGGAAAGATGCATCAATGCACCCAATTCAACAATGCAATTCTCCTGTCTGGCTTATGCAAAGGACAGATGGACCTTAGAGAACGACACTGGAATTATAGGAAGTTTAGTCAAAGACAACTCCAATTATAACTGTCATACAACTGTTTTAACTTAATTAGGACATCCCCTGGTGCCAGGTGTGCAATTATTTGTAGCAGGCAAGTGCTTTTCCTCCGTACTTACTCATAAGACTCATCAGAAGTAGTCTTTTTTTTTCAGCTAAAAAAGTCACTAGTGTGCCTTCACTGTCCTATATTAGGTGTATATTAACTCTCCAGCTCTATGTCATAATTTAGTTAATAGGGATCTTGATCATTTTCTTTTTCTTTCCAGTAGATGCATTATATTGCTGACATTTTGCTGATTGGACTTAGTAAGAAGTAGCAACTCTGCTTGACTTGCTGATGAGGCTGTAGGGCGATGTCAGTATGAAGCTATAACAGAATATATTAATGTTACAGACTACATAAAGGGATTTATGTAAGACACAGTATGGAAGGCTGAAAAGTTGAAAATCAGGTACCTTCATCTGTTTGACTTCTGAAGACACTGTGCCTACGTGACCAGCTGGCGGAAAAATGGAAAGGGAAATGGCTAAGTGCATGGGGCAGCCTCACTTATGATAACCTGCTCTTACAAAGAACTAACTCACTCAACGAGATCAGTGTTCATACTTCCCAACTGCCTCATTACCTAAGCGTTCTCTACTGGACCTTCTCAGCCTGAAGGCTCCACTGCCTCGTCACTGCCAAACTGGAGACAAGCTCACAGCACATGAATGCTTGAGGGACATATTCCTACCGCTAAGAAACCGGTTTGAATGGCACTTATTAACTCCTTCACTGATAGAGTGGGATTTATCAATGCAACGGAAACACATACATTTACAGTGTCTTGAATACTTGAATGATTGGTCTAATCTGAGTTGAGAAATCTTGTAAAAATGTAAATTCTTGCTTTGGGTAGAAAATCGTCACAGCTTCTTTCAACCCTTAAATCTCCTTAATCATGCATGATAAGCAGATGGATAGAGATAGCTAGCTAGGTAGCAAGATAGATAGATAGAGAGTTGATAGATGGTAGATTAGATAGATCTTTTTTCTAAGTAGGAAATTTGGTCCATGTTATTTTTCATTCAAATATATAAGACAATTAGAAATTAAACTTTTCTCTACATGCCAGGCACAATCTTTTCCACACCCCACTTGTTCTGCCTGACAACTTCTGCAAAGATAATTTTAACATTAAGGAAAAATCCCCACATTTACGTTTTTTTTTTTTTTATATTAAGAGGAACAGTTTTCTCACAGGTTAATTTAAATTTGGTCTGCTAGTGACTGGAAGCAATTGCCTGGATAATGGCTTGCTGCCTTGATGTTAAAATTAGAACAAGGCCAAGTCTAGTGAATAGAAGTCCACACAAAGAATCACTATTTTTGTTCCTTCCTCTTGTACCCAGCCGAAAAGAAATAGGGGGAACTGGCAAACTAACAGAACCAACTATTACTGCCATCTTTCACTTTAGCATAAACTAACATATGTGTTTCATGAAAAGAGGTAAAGGCACAAGTGTTTTTTTTTTTTATTATTTCTATCTGTAAAGGACTTAGCTCCAGTAAGCACCATATATTCAAAATTAATTGAAAAGAAGACTTTAATGACTTGTAATATGAGGAAAATGTATTTTTAAAAAAATATTTTCAGATATTTTAATATAATAACTTGCTTATGACCCTGGGTCATGTGGATACCTTCCTTACAGAAATATTGATTTTTAAAAATTAATTTTGAAGTAGAAGACAAAGCAGTCTACCAAAATTCTTCTCTTCTATCCTTAAACAGAACCAGGTTTATCACTCTGATGAAGACTAATCAAAACAGGAATTCCTTAGGTTCTATTTTTTTTTCTTCCCAGAAGGTAGAATTATCCAATTGAAGATGTTTCTTTAAAAACAAAAAGACAGGTCATCGTTTTCTAAGCTGTGTGTCTTGCTGGACCAAAGCATGAAATACCAGATGTTTGTAATAAAATAATCAAAGTACTACACTGAGTCACAGAAATTTTTTAAATATTGAAACAACCTTATTCGGGTCTTTGTATGACAAAGAAGCTTCTGTTTTCATTGTTAACATGAAATGCTTAAAAAGGTTATATTTCTTAACACATTTCTAATAAGAAATTTCAGCACTGTATATTTAAACACAAACAGAAAACATACACTTGTTATTTTTTCCCCATTAAGACCATTTTAGACTCTAGTAGAATACAGAATAAAAGTCTTTGTAAAAATAAATTAACTCTTAATTTTTCTTTGTTTAGCTCTTAAGATTACAGTCATTTTGTATGTTGTATTTAATACATAGCAGTAACTATATGCCATTTTCATAGCTTTTGATAAGAGGTATTTTACATTTTAGTGAGTTTTTCTTATATTTTTACATTGGACTGTCATTTGCTAATACCTTCTCACTTTTACACAGCTACCTTTGCACCCTCAATGATGAATAGGAATTGCAATACAAGTTGTGAGGTGAAAGCTGCAGAAGACCCGACAGCATGTGGCTGGGGACTGAGAAATGACGATGCATTAAGGTCAGACCCCAGAGTCCAGCCTACTTGGAATCAAATCTAAGTGTTGTATGACTTGAGCAGTTATGTAACTGGTTTAGACTTTGGTTTTGTAGTCTTCATCTGTAAAAAGGAGTGTTAGAAATTTATGTGAATGTACACATACACAAATATACATATACGTATGTGTCAAATATTCATTTATGGTGTATGTGAATATATACACACACATATATATACACACACATATGCATGTACATGTACACTTCAGAAAAGATTGTGCTACTTAAACATTAACTATCAATATCAGCTCAGTACCTGAAATTTCACCAGTAAGAGATCCAATAAACATAAAATGAGACTCTCTGAAGCAAAGTGCTGACTTTGTATGCAGTTTCCTGCACTCCTAACTGGCTCTTTGCAGAACTGATCTGGGACTGTTAATGAGATTTTGTTTTAGAGATGATGGATTGATATTTCAGGGGAAGATTAAGGGAGCCCTTATAACCAGTGCCTCTCAGAGTCCAGTCAATTACTAAAATGACAGCTTTCATGTAAATATAATCTCATGTAAATAAGAATGTTAAAATTTGAGAGAGAGAGAGAGAGAGAGAGAGAGAGAGAGAGAGAGAGAGAGAGAGAGAGAGATGCTGATACGGGCTTCAACTCAGTCTCTTACTCTGGCTTGGTTTTTATCCTCATGGCTAATGCTCTACCACTTGAACCATACCTTCACCTCCAGCTTTTAGCTGGTTAATTGGAGATAAGAGTCTCTTGGTTTGTCTCTGGCTGTGTTTGACTCTTGATCATCAGATCTCAGCATCCTTAGTAGTTATAGACATGAGACACCAGCATGTGGCTGGACAGTTCAGAGTGGTACCTGCTAAATCAGGAGAAATGCCCGGATATAGTGATTGAGCTGAATGAAGGAAAACGTTGACCTTGCCTTTAAATGGACTAACAGTAAAAACAAAATGGCATGCTTTGTTACTTCTTGATAGACTTCTGGCCCTGAGAATGCTGGTCAAGGTAGTTTCTCTGACTATGAACAGGATGTGGAAGGTAAGAGTTCAAACCTGCATATTTAATAAGTTTCACATAAATCTGGGATCTGGTGAAGCATAAAGAACTTTTCTTAAGTGAGAGTCTCAGCAAGCATTTGTCTTACTTTTACCTTTCCACTCAAAGTGTGCATTGGCTAAAATAACCAGTTTGACATGATCCATTTCAAATAGGGGTTATAATGTACCATTATGTATAAGTTACCTCACAACGTCATTAAGTGGCTTCAAATAAGACAACATTCAGAGAACAATGTAGGATTCAAATAAATCTAAGTACATATTCCTTTTATTTCTTTTTTTTTTTTTGTCAGTTGTGGGGTTTGAACTCTGGGCCTGAGCACTATCCCTCAGCTCTTCAGCTCAAGGTGAAGCTTGAGCTACAGCACCACTTCTGGTCTTCTGGTGGTTTATTGGAGATAAGAGTTTCACGGACTTTGAGCCAGGCTGGTTTTGAACCACGATCCTCAGATCTCAGCCTCCTGAGTAGCTAGGATTACAGGAGTGAGCCACTGGCGCCCGGCTATTTCTTTTATTTCTATAGCAAATAGATTTTTGTTTGTTTTTGTCAATTGTGGGGCTTGAACCCAGGGCCTGTGTAATGTCCCTAAGCTCTTTCTTGCTCATTATACCACTTTGAGCCGCAGCACCACTTCTGTTTTTTGAGTGGTTAATTGGAAATAAGAGTCTCACAGGGACTTTTTTTGCCTGGGCTGGCTTTGAACCTCAATCCTCAGATCTCAGCCTCCTTAGTTACTAGGATTACAGGTATAAGCCACTGACATCTGGTGCAAACAGTTTTTGGAAACAGAAAAACATCTTATTTGACAGCAAAAGGGAGTAAATGGTTTGAATAAAGACCTAATCACTAATTAATCCACATGGAAAGTTTTCCTAATTTTCTTTGTAATGAAAGCTGAGAAGGTATTAGCCATCTTAACCTGAGCCATACTAATCCTACTTGCTTTTCTAAATATAATAAAAACAGCAGACAGTCTCAAAGTACATTATTAATTAGACATGATTAAAAGTTAGTTTCATTATCTCATTTACCTTTGGAGTTTCCAGACATTAATAATCACCAAAAAGTTCTCACTGATTTATAATATGTATTATCACATCATGACCCTAAAACTCTGGGCCTCAAAGAACAAGGCATAAATATGCTTTAGACACCTATCTGTAATCACAGAAGAAAACAATTAGGATTCACCTAATTGGAGTGAGTCTCCAGGTTCATTTCATTCCATTCCAAGTTACTGGTACTGTTTTTCCTATGTCCAAAGCTCCATGTAGAGAGAGTTCTTAGAATTAAAACACCCTTGAAGATGTATACAATTAGGATTCACCTCATTGGAGTGAGCCTCCAGGTTCATTTCATTCCATTCCAAGTTACTGGTACTGTTTTTCCTATGTCCAAAGCTCCATGTAGAGAAAGTTCTTAGAATTAAAACACTTTTGAAGATGTATAGCTTAGCTTGATCCTGGGACATCTAGGGTAAACATTTTATGGTATTGCACAGTAACAAAAGTTTACAGCCATAGATAACACAGGATCTGATCTGCAGGAACACACTTGGGGTTTAAGGCTGACATCGGAAAGCAACCATTTCTGGAACAGTTGTCAATTAGCTTTACACAGTGTCACCTGGTAGAGTATTGAAAAAGGATATCTCTTTCAACAGTGTAATCATAGGAGGTTTTGTTCATTTATTTCATATTTGCCAGTTTTTTTTCACTTCTGTGTTAGGCAGAGGCACTTTAGGAGCTACGAACTGCCCTTAATAAGAACAGTCCATAAATATAAGAAGTGGTAAATGTGTCCAAGCATTAAAATGAAATTAATTTAAAAAGAAAGCAACTCATAAGTTAAAAAAGCCACTGAATCTTGTAAAAAAAAAAAACACACTGCTCTCTGATTTGAAGAACTTATATAAAAATTAATTAAAGAACTTATATAAAAATTAGCTATCATCCACTTATGTCCTGTAGTATCATAGATGCTACAGCTTTCCCACGTTAAGGTCTAATGGTTTTGCTGTTAGAGCTTGTAAAGCTTGTACAATTCCTGATGAATGAAATACTTCAGTTATGTTCGAGTACTGTTTCAAAGTACTTTTTTTTTTCTACCTACAGGCTCCAAAGAGTCAGGAGAGGAAAAAGAAAAAGAAAAAGTCAATGAAACATATCACAAGTGTTTAGCAAAGTGTATTAAAAAAAAACACGCAAAGATTTTAAACGACATGCACTCCATGTCCGACGTGTGAAAGTGGCCTATCTTCACTCCTGCGATTCCGTGGACTTTTCCTCTCCTTCCTTCTCGCCCTTTGGTCTCATTTAGCTGCAACGTAGTGCACCTGCCACAGCACGTTGGAGAGGAGGTCCTGGTACAGGCTAAGGAAGATCCAACCGGGTAAATACATCAGGGTGATGAGGCCCATGAAATTGAGTGGATAGTGCGAGTAATCCCAGGAACAAGCCCCCCAGGCGCGAAGCCCCAGCCCCCAGGTCAGCTCCCACACGTAGATGACAACCACGTAGAGGGGCACCCGCCTCCACGCGCCCCACCCGCGGCGGTAGTGCAGGTGGAAGTAGAGCTTCTCCACCACGAAGCTGCAGCTGCCGTACATCAAGAAGGACCAGAGCGACGTGTGGCCGCTGGTGGTGACCCTGCCCCCCGGGCCCAGCACGTTGAAGAAGAAAGTGAAGAAGATCTCATCCAGGAAACCATGCATCCCGAAGAAAAGGAAGCGCGGCAGGTCGGGCAGGCCCTGGCCCGGGGCTCCCCCGGGGCCGCCGGGACCCCGCGGGCGTCGTCTCCCGCTGTCACCGGGCGGCGGCGGCCGGGGTCGCCGGTGCCTCCGGTATCGCAGGCGCAGGAACCGCTTCAGGAAGACTTGGCAGTGGTAGAGCGCCAGCGCGTAGTGCAGGGCCAGCGCCAGCGCCAGGTCCAGCGGCCCCGGCTCCCCGCCGCCTCCCGGGCCCAGCAGCGGCGCCTGGCCCGCCAGGGTCTGCAGCCCCACGTGGGCCGAGGGGAAGAGCAGGAAATCGAAGACGCCGGCGCTGGGGCAGCGCGGCCGCTGCAGGTAGAGCCGCTCGAGCGCCAGGTGCGTGAGCGAGTGCAGCAGGCAGCGGTAGGGCGAGGAGAAGCCGAGCATCCGCGGGTCCGGGCTGCGCGCGAAGCCCCGCGCCCAGGACACCAGCACGTCCAGGGCGACGCCGTGCATCCCGTAGAAGTAGAGGCGCATCCAGGCGGGCAGCGCCGTGCCCTCGCCCCGAGCTTCAGCGGTGGACAGCGGCTCCTCCGGGCACCGGGTGGCGGCCGCCGCCGGGCTGCCCGACCCGCCGCCGGGGGGGCCCGGACGCCGCGCCGCCCCGGGTCCCCGAGCCGACCCCGCTCCGTCCGCGTCGCTGCCCGCCATGGGCTCCGAGGCTAGCCGGGAAGCGGAGCTCGCGCCGCCGCCTCCACCGCTACCGCCACCGCCGGGCGGCCGAGCCCCCGCGCCGCGGGCTTGCGGGCCCCGGCAGGTCCCCCGAGGGTGGGCAGGGAGCTCCGTCTGGGTTGGGGATCCCGCCCAGAGAGAGCTGATGGTCTGGGGAGGGAGGAAGGGGGGCTTAACTCGCAGAGTCCCCCACCCCACCCCACCGTGTGCGGGCCCCGCCGCGCCCTCCTCTCCGGTCCCCAGCGAGGTGCGGCGATCGCCCGGCGCGGCCTATTGGAGCCGCGGCCCGGCGAGGTGAGGCGACGCCCGGGCAGAGAGCGCCGAGGCCGAGGCCGGTCCTAACCCCAGCCCCTGCGCGGCTCAGCCCCGCCGCCTCTGCCGAAGGCTTGGGGTGGCGTAAGGCGTGCCATGAACAGCCCTGCCCCCGCCCCGGCCCTTCCCACACCCCTCTCCCGCCCCGCCGACCTCTCCCGCCTTCCAGTCCTCCCCCGTGCCCCGCCCCGTATCCCGCGTCCCGAGTCCCATTCGGGACGCGCCGGTGTGTGTCCCCACTCCGTGCCCCCCCCCACCCGGCCCGCGCCGTGGAAAGACACTTTAACAGGTGTGCGCGATTCGTGGGCGGTGGGGCACCCCAGGCATCCTAGAAACCGGGGCCAGGCCTCGGCTGCCAGGGCCAAGTGGCCGGTGCCACTGGCCAGAGGCCGGGCCCAAGTCCAAACTGAGGCTGTGTAGTTACTGTTCTTGTTCAAAGCCGGCTGTGTCCCAGTCCCAGAGAGTAGAGCAAAGCAGAGACTGCCCCCACGGGCTTTGAAACGCAGCTCGGGGGAGGCCTGATCCAAGTCTCCCGTCTCTCTGAGGAGATGGGCTGCTTTCCTTAGGTCAAGGACAGAGGCCTGAAAGTCCCCCCCCCCACCCCCCACCCCGAGTTTGCAAAAGGATTTGGGGCCAGGTAGGGGTGGGCAAGAGGAAATGCATTGCTCTGGCTGTGCTGTGCTGGGTCTTACCCCGAGAGTAGCACTGTTCAGTCCACCCCTGGGTTTTGTCTATGCAGAATTGGGTCACCCTAGGAATGGAGGAACTAGACTGTCAGGTCAGGCATTTCTTTTTCTGTCTTTCTTTCTTTTTCTTTCTCCTATCCCTCTTTTGCTTGTTTGTTTGTTTTCCTTTTCCTTTTTTTTCTTTCTTTTTGGATGTGGAGAAGCTGGAGGGGGGGCAGAATGTTTGGTCTGCACCCCCCCCCCCTCTAATTTTGAGTCAGGGAGGAATTGGAAAGAGTCTTAAAGGTAAATTATACTTATTACCTCCTTTGCCTCCTTCCCTTTCCTCCCTCCCTCCCTGTCCAAATTCATGTCTAGGCAGAAACTAGGTAACTGTTTTAATCTGTGAAGCATTCAGATCCTCCCACGATAAAAATGTTTTATAGAGATTTTTTTTTTCTTTTTCTTCTGGAAGTGCTCTCAGGGCAGGCCTCCCATTTCTAAGGCAACTTCACCTCTACACTTTCTTTTACTTACTTCAACCATCGTTGTTACAATCTGGTAGCAACTTGTGTGAGTTAGGTAAGAAAGATTAAAGCTTGGGGGGAAGACAAGATTACTGTGATTATCAACATTTGTATGATCACGATCCAGGTCTTGAAATCTTATTTCAACTTTGTCAGCACGTTCCTTCTTTTGCTGACTTCGTGGGTAACTGTCCTGTGTGGAGATTGTCACTCCAGGTACAGAAGTGGTAGCTAATAAGAAAGCTCAGGGAATCTGCTTCAAAGCAGAAATACACCTTGCTACCTAAATGCCTGTGCAACTACAATTAAGAGAAGAAATAATAGAATAACATGCAATCTCTCTTTTAGAAGTCTGTAATCTAATTGAAATGATAAGTGAACAGATGGGCAACATAGGGGTGTATACCTATAATCCTAGCTCAAGATGCTGAGGCAGAAGTATTACAAATTTGAGGCCAGCATGGATTACGAAGTGAGGGCTTGTCTCAACAATAACAACAAAGATAAGTAAACAATCTACTAGACTTGTGTTAAGCTTACTTAATGATAATAGCAAATAATTACGATTGACTACATGCCAAGTTAAATGTATCTTTTGACTCATTCTATTCAATAAACTTGGGTTCAGTTTATCATCTATAAAAACAAATTGACTGCTTCTACTTAATTGCTATTAAGACAAAGGAAGACAAGTAACTGTAAATATAGTATACACCTAGCCATTCAAACATGTTGGATTGAACTTGAATGGTTTTGAAATACTAAGTTAAACTTGAAGGATCAATGTCTCTGGTTCTTCCAACTTTTCTCATAGATTGCAAGAAAAACTTGCAAAGTCTAATTTTATGGTCAAGAATTTATCTGGAGAGAAAAGGGAAACCTTTTGAATTAAAAGAAAATAGAACTTTTATGTGAATATGAGTATATTAATGTATAAATATGTATGTATATATTCATATGAATATACATATGTGTGACAAAGAAAAAGAGCGAGGTGGAGAAGAGGAGAGGGGCTTAACTCATGTCGCAGGCTGGCTTCAGACTTTCTCTGTATCCCAGCTGGCCTTGAATTCAGCCCTTTGAATGTTGAGATTATTAGGGATGAACTACTACGTTCTTCTGCAGGAATAAATACTATGTGTGTGTGTGTGTGTGTGTGCACATGCAAATACATGTGTATGTGCATTTTTATATCTATTTGTTTCTCATAGTATTATCAATTTATCCTAGGGCTTTGCCCTTAGTAGGCAAGTGCTTTGTTACTTAAGCCACACCCTCAGCATTTAGATTTTTTCTGCTTTGTATACCTTATGTGTTTTTGTAAGGTAACAGTTTAATGACATGTATAAAATAAAATGTGTAAGCACATATGTATGAATCTTACTAAATGTTTGAGGGTTTGTGATAAAAATGTGAGATTCAACACTCATAATTTTTTTCCCAAGTTGGTTAGGCTACTAAAAGTATTTTCATCATACTAGGGTCCTTGCTGAAGCTTTTCCCCCATAGGATGATCCAAAGTATAAATGATGGTAATATAATTGAGTACAAAATGTAGTTGTTATTATTTGTTTCTCTCCATTTTCTAAAATATTCTCATTGTGTTCTGAAATTTAGCACTATCAAGTAGGAGAGAAATTACTTTAAAAAATAAGAAAAAAAGAAGTATGAGGCAAATGCAAGAAAATTCATCACTGTTTATATTGCATGTAATTCTTTCAGTCATTTTTTTCAATTCTTTGTACTTAACTCAGTGTATTATTACACCTTCAACTGCTTTAACAAAATACCAGTGATTGGTAAAGAATAGAAGGTTTATTTAGTTGTAGTTCTGGAGGTCCACAAGTATCATTTTGGCTTTTCCTCAATGCTGTGAGAAGCTCATGGAAAAAAATATGACAGGAATGTGTGCACAAGAGATTATATGTTAAGACAGGAAGCTAGAAATATTATAGGGTCAGGAATTTACTCTTCAAAGGAGAGCATCAGTACTTCAAATGACCTTGAAATCAGTACTTCAAATGCCTTCCTTTTGGGGACCACATTTCCAACAATGATAACATTGTGTTATCATTCTGTTTTCTCTTTACACTATTCTTTTTATTTTTAATGCCTCATTGTTGCAGCTCCAAAGCCAGGTTTCCAGCTTTAAAACTGGCTTCAATGGCTTTCATGATCCAGGATCATTTTAAAATCAAAACTCCTCACATTAGAGTCTTCATAATTGTAAAATATTTAAACTAGTTCTTATGCTGGTCTTTTCTGCTGCAAGGAACCTAAGTAGCCAAGGTACATCTGTAAATCCAGCAAATCTAGGAGTGGATAGGTATGGGTATGAGATGAAAATGCAGGAAACTATAGTCATATAGCATGGGCTTGTGATTTTTAGGTTTGGGAAGCTATGGAAATGATGCTTTGAAGCTCTGTTTTCCTGTAGAAGATACAGGTTTCTATGACCTCTGGGATTTAAGAAGCTGTCTGGGTAACCATGTCTGTAAAGATTATAATGGTTTTATACTTGTCTTACTGGCCTGGCCAGCCTGTCTGCACATTGGTGCAACCCTGGAACCAGGTTGGTCAATGTAGGCCAGAAGAGATTTGAGAAACAGTAGAAAAGTTAAGACTGTGATGATAATGATCACTGTAGCAAATTCTTGCTCAGTGGCCATAGTCTCCAGGTCTTTTGCGTATATCACTTGGTATGACTTCATGCATATGAGAAGATCCTATGGAAAGTGTACAGAAAAAAATAGCATCAAGAAGAAAACTTAAGGGACATTCAGTAAGATAAATTTGGTATAAAACTGTCTCCCTACATATTTTTCAGTTTGAGCTGTAGGTTTGTTGGTTCATAGTAAACTATAATATAACTTGATGTATGAATATTGTAAATGAGTCTTGGTTCAAGTGGTGAATGTCAGCTAATTAGTACTGCATACATCTTACTTCCCGAAGGCCTCTGACTACATTTAAATTATTATTTTTAAACAGTTCTGTGCTAGGGATTACTAGGCTTGTCTGTATCACTCTTTCTGTTTTTTTTTTTTTTCAAAGAAAAAATATATAAGCGGGGCTGGGAAGTTGGCTCAGTGGTAGAGCGCTTGCCTTGCATGCCTGAGGCCCTGGGTTCAATTCCTCAGCACCACATAAGCAAAAAGAAAAAACCCGGAAGTGGCGCTGTGACTCAAGTGGTAGAGCGCTAGCCTTGAGCTGAAGAGCTGAAGGACAGTGCCTAGGCCCAGAGTTCAGGCCCCATGACCTGGACCCAAAAAAAAAAAAAAAAAAAAAAAAAAAATATATATATATATATATATATATATATATAAGCGAATGACTGAGTTTATGCAATGCTGTGGCTGGTTTGCAGAAAATGAATCCTATAGAAGAACCTATAAGAGAAACTTCATGTGTGATTAAGTGCACACTATGAAGTTGATTCTCCTCATTTTGGAAAAAAATAATTGTAATTTTTTTGGGTGGTCCTGGTTGGCATAAGAAACAAAATTGTTTCATCAAATGATTTTTATCTCTTTGTTTAGCTTCATTTAAGAAAATTTTAATCTTTTATTAGAACTATTATTTTTACAACAAAGTGACATTTCTAATTTGCCTTTAAAACCTTTGGTTTTATTTCACAATGATTTGTTATCCTATTTGGTCATTATTTTAAATCTTTTGATGTATTTGACAGATTTTTTGCACAATCAAATTCTAATTTTGAATCCTTTTGAACTTTGGGATTTCTGGGGCTCCTGAAAGTCCAAAAGAGACCTATTAGATTTGTTTTATTTGTTCCACCACAGAAAATTTATTAAATGAGCATTTTTTCAATTTTTTTGATTATATCTTTATTGCTATCCTATTGAGGTAATATGCAAAAATTGCATAGG